GGTGGGGACGCGGCGGCCAGAACGGCTCCAAGCCAGCCAGGTGGTCTCAACCATTGTCGGTGGCCGGAATGGTGACAGATGTGGTCAGGGGCGAGGCTGGACAGTGGGCTACGGCCCGCAGCTCACAGCCAGGGGAGGGCGGAGTAAGTCCCAGGCTGAGCGTGCATGCACACGCACCCTCGCACTCACACACACCCCGTGCTGCGAGCTGAACGAGGCTGCAGGCTGCTGTCCCTGAGCCCAGGGACCCGCCACCCTGCAGGGCTGGCTTGCTCATGGCTGAAGAGGTGAGGTTCCCATGCCGGGTGCTTCTTCCTCTTCCTCGTCTTTGTCTCTAAGATCTTCCAGAGGGCATGTACAATCACCAGAGACAGAGGAGAGAGATGGGGGGAGAAGGCGCCCACCATGGGGAACGGTCATGCCGCAGCCCCTCCCTCTGTCTCCCCTCTTGGGAGCACTTGCCGGTGTGTTTCCCAGCCGTGGCCCGGGGCCGCTTCCCGCCCGTGCTGGCCCGTGGCTGCAGACGCAGAGTCACGTCTGCCACCGCACTGCCATCGGGTTTTCGTTTTTGATTTATTTTTGAGAGGGAGATTTTCGCTGTGGAGTGCGTGAACTCACCAGAGTGACAAATACAGAGAACGAGAAATCACCCCGGGGGATGGCCACACCGCAGTCCTCCACTCTCCTCTCGGGATCTTGGGCGTGCACACGTGCCCAGACCGTGGTCGGCCACATGGGAGTTCAGCAGCATAATCACCGCACCATCTGCTGGGCCCGCTTTCCTGCCCTAGCGCTGAGCAGAGGCAGACCCAGGCGGGGAGGGCGGCCACCCTGAGGCCTGGGGTGCTCCACCCGAGCTCAGCCGCTGCCTCGCCCCAGCTGGCACTGCGGAACGCCCTGCGCTACTTCCCCCCGGACGTCCAGGAGCAGCTGGCCCCTGAGTTCGCCCAGGAGCTGCGCGAGTACGGCCACATCTACATGTACCGGTTCTGCCCCGACGTCGACATGAAGTGAGCTCTGGGGGCACAGCCACTGGGGCCCTGGGGTGCAGAGCCCATGGGACGGGCTGTGGTGGTGTCGGCCCCGAGACAGCAGCGAGGGGAAACCCGGGCACACGGAGGAGGCGGCACACTGGCTGGTCTGCCTCCCCAGAGGGGAGTCGGTTGCTTTCGGGGGGCGGGGGGCTGAGGCCAAGAGCTGGCTGTGCCCCAGCCTGGGTGGCAGAGGGGGCCCTCCTTGGACAGGGCTCCATGCCCCAGCTAGCGTCCTGGTAGTCAGTCCCAGCTGGACCCTGCACCTGCTGTTCTGCTGGAGGGTGGGAGCCTGGGAGCCCTGACAGCCACCCCGAGCCCCATCAGGGCCCAGTGGACACGTGAGTGTGGGCCTGCCTGGAGCCCAGACACTGCAGTCCTGGGCGAGGCCTGCGACTGCGTGCCCCTCGGCCAGCAGCCCCACCTGGGCTCTCACACAGAGGCCAGACTAGCCTGCAGTCGTGCAGGGCCTGCCTTCCCCCGAGGCAGGAGGCAGCTCCCTGTTCCCTCAGCACCTCCCGGCCTGGCTTCTGCTGCAGCCTGGTGCCAGGAGTGCTTGTTGGGGGACGGCAGCAAACGAGGGGACCCTGTGTGCAGGGGAGGCATCCGGGGAGAGGTGTTGGCTCCGCTGTACTGTCCACTCCCTTCCAGGGAGAGCCCGCCAAGAGGAGGACGGCCGGGGGTGGGAGCACGCACAGCCTGAGCACCGGAGGGACTGGCCCAGGGGTTCCAGACCTCCGTGCCCAGCCGGGGACCCCGCATGGCTCCTCAGGGAGGGTCCTGCTGGCCCGGGCAGGTGGGCCCGGGCTCCAGCAGGAAGGGGCGGGGCCTCCAGCTGTCACACCTGGCGGGGCCTCCCTGCAGGGCCTACCCGATCCAGCAGTACCCCTGCCGGACCCCAGCTGCCGCTGCCGTCATGCACATGCTCATGAACAACCTGGACCCCGCCGTGGCCCAGGTAATGTGGCAGACACGCCGTGGCCCAGGTAATGTGGCAGACACGCCGCGGCCCAGGTAATGTGGCAGACACGTGGCCACTCCAGAGCCTCGGGGTCCCAGGGGACGCAGAGCAGGAGAGGGCCCCACCCCCTCCCACCTCCTGGTTATGTCCGACCCAGTCCCCAGTCCCAGGCCCTGCCTTGGACCCCTGGCCGAGTCCCCAGAGTGACCGGGACCCAGCTCTGACCCACCCCCACTCCTCGCCGGCGGAGCTCAGCCTGGGGGGCCCTCTGCTCCCTGTCATGGCCCCGCGGCACCCTGGTCTCCTCTCAGAGGACACGCGGCTTCTCCAGTTTCCCTCCCCACCCATCTCCATCAACCCAGGCCTGGCTGCCCAGCCGCTGCCCTGGGGTGGGTGTTGGAGGGGCCCGCCCTCGCCCTCCAGAGCCACCACGCCCACTGTCGCTGCAGTTCTGGCTGACCATGGCCTACTTGTCGAAGATGACCGAGGAGCAGACCCTCGTCATGTACAGTGGACACCCGCTGGGCCTCTTCCCCAGCAGCCCCAGCGCCCCGCGGCTGGTCATCACCAACGGGATGGTGGGTGGGCGACCACCGCGGGTGGGTGGGCGGCCACCGCGTGAGGGCGGGGGGCTTCCAGGGGTCTGCGGGGGGG